AGGCGGGCGGATCACGAGGTCAGGAGATCGAGACCATCCTGGCGAACACGGTGAAACCCCGTCTCTACTAAAAATACAAAAAAATTAGCCGGGCGTGGTGGCGGGCGCCTGTAGTCCCAGCTTCTAGGAAGGCTGAGGCAGGAGAATGGCGTTACCTAGGAGGCGGCGGAACTTGCAGTGAGCGGAGATCGCGCCACTGCACTCCAGCCTGGGCGACAGAGCGAGACTCCGTCTCAAAAAAAAACAAAAAAAACCCAAAAAAACAAAAACAAAAAACCCTGAGGCGCCAGCCTCGCGAGAAAGGGGAATACCGACGTAAGGGCCAGAGAAGGACCAAGTTCTTGGGCTCGGTTACCTCCGGAAGTCATTCCTATCTGTGGCAAAGCGGTAGACGCCCCGAAGCCAATCTCCCACGTTGTCCGGTATTTCGGGGGTTTCATTAGCCGAGCCAGCAGCACTCACCGGGACCCCGCTGGAAGCCATAGTAGGAACCTTCGCATGGGCCGCGGTGGAGGAACCGTATCAGCGTCGCGGGTGAATGACGCACCTCCGGTTTGGCACTTCCGGCTGCACCAACCCGCAGGGGAGCGCTGTTCGCTTAGTCCGACATCCGGAAGAGGGACGGCCCCCTGCTGCGCGTCCACGAACTCTAGGAGGGGAGGAGCGCGGCCCGGCTCTACGGTGCCCTGCTCCCGGTCCCACCTCCGGCTCTCCAGCCGGTAACCGTCACGCGTGCTGTGATCATTTAATTGGCTCGGGAGGAGGATGGTGGGGACGGGGCTGTCCCAGCCTGTGGAGGTGGGGGTAGGGGCTATCTCAGCAGGGGAAGCGTAGCTTTGGGGAATGGGTTTTGCCAAGAAAGTCTCCACCAAAAGTCCTAACGCGCTGTGCTGAAGGGGGCGCACTCCAAACTTGTCACCTCGCCGCCTCTCGCGGGCGTGCGCCTGACTGCGTCTCAGTCTAGGATTGTTAGGGGAGGCTAGCCTTGTTCTCCCGCTTTACAGACCCCTTTCCTCCCACTCACACCCCCTCTCTGAGCTGCGCCACTAGCACATGGTGCAGTGCTTCTTAGAGGCGTTGCTGTCCTCTGCTTGGAGGCTTCCGGGGATTTTCCAGGACAGGGGAAGGCGCTCGCCTAAGAAAAAGCCTTCAGGTTCCGAGTCAGAGGAGGAGGAGCAGGTGGAGAAAAGGGTGTCCTTGGAATCACAAAGAGTTTCCAGGCGGCACTGCTCCTGCCCTTTGGGTGCCTCCGCTTTTTCCCCAGGTCGGTTCTCCTGCTGGGGACTGGATCCAGGCAGCCCCGTCTGAGTTTGCAGGCTGGAACCGCCGGCAGCAGCGAGAAGGAGTGTTCGGGAGAGGGTCGCAGAGTTCACCGAGGTTTGGTCCCTTCCTCCAGTTCGGTCGGGTCCAGTCTCCCCTGTTCCAGGCCGGGTCGGAAACGCTGGTCTCAGAGATGCGGAGCTGGACCTCCACCGCAGCTAGTGGGGGTGAAGCCCTGCCTCTCGCCCCGCCCAGCCCAGCCCCTGG